AATATTCTCCACCTTGCAACTGACCCCACGGATGGGATCCCCACAAACTCCATCGAGGCATCATGCATGTCGGTGGTGGGGGATAGGCTACTCGGCGACGTTATCTACGAGGGCGGCGAAACGGATAGGAGCAAGGGCGGAGGTTGGCGATGGCTCGGCGGTAGGAAATGGAGGACGAACATGGTAACAGGCCTTTCAATTAGGAGGACTAGGTACCACGTGACATATGTGGTAAGCAATTGAAACTAATCCAAATTTTTTTGGTGGTCTAGGTCAATTTGGAGGGTTTTTGGGTGGGGCTGGTCTATCAGATCTGACGTGACGGACGCATCTGGGCCTCACCATATCAACTTCAGATATGGACTGGGTTCGAAAGGTGTCGGACAACCCGGACGTATAGGGCCGGTTTGAGGAGTGGTGTTGGGTCGCATTTTTGTCATGGTTCACTAAACCTGGTTGCAGATGCTTTAAGATTGTTAGATAATAATGAGAAATAAATGAGACACGAGAGACACGGATTTTTACGTGGAAACCCTTGTGGGAGAAAACCACAGACGCACAAAGGCGTAATCACTATGAGGAGGAGTATTACAAGCACGAGACGACAGACTGTCTGAGGTGCGACTACATGGGGTATATATGAGGGAAATACATAAGAGTCCTTGTAGGACAAGTAAATGAGTTGTACTCGTACGCGTCGATGTCAACACAAAGGCCCACACCAGTTGTACTACGTCTAGTCCAACACGGTATAATTTGGATCACAATTTAACAATCTCCACCTTGATCCAAATTCCCTCCAGTAGTCGATGAAAGTAAATAACTCCATCCAAATCAGTATAAACACCTTGTGCGTCAAAGTCCATAGGACTAGTGAGAAATACCAACTAAGCCTGAGCAAAGCTCAAACTTATTGGTAGGAACTGGCTTTGTCATCATATCAGCAGGATTATCATGAGTACTTATCTTGCATACCTTCAAATTGCCTTCAACAACAACATCTCTAATATAATGAAATATGACATCAATGTGCTTTGTCCTCTCATGATACATTGGATTCTTTGTAAGATATATGGCACTTTGACTGTCAGAAAATATGGTAGGGCAAGATGAATCTCCACAAAGCTCAGTGTACAAACCTCTCAACAGATAGCTTCTTTGCATGCCTCGGAAATAGCCATATACTCGGCATCAGTAGTGGAACAAGCCACAATAGACCGCAAAGTTGCTCTCCAACTCACAGCACAACCACCAATGGTGAAAACATAACCTGTGAGTGATCTTCTCTTATCCAAATCACCAACAAAATCGGAATCAACAAAACCAACAAGTCCATCTCTAGATTTCCCAAACTGTAAATAAGCATTAGAAGTACCTCGCAGGTATCTGAAAATCCACTGAACTGCTCTCCAATGCTCTTTTCCAGGATTAGCAATGTATCTACTGACAACACTCAACGCATATGATAAATCCGGACGAGAACAAACCATGGCATACATAAGTGAACCAACTACACTCGAATAGGGAACTCTAGACATGTACTCAATATCTGCATCTGACTTGGGACATAAAGCTGATGATAATCTGAAGTGTGTAGATAACGGAGTACTTACTGGCTTGGCACTATACATATTAAAACGACGAAGAACTTTATCAATATATCCCTTCTGACTTAGATATACTTTTCCAGACGGTCTATCTCTGGATATTTCCATGCCAAGTATTTTCTTTGCTGCACCCAAATCCTTCATCTCAAATCCATTACTCAATTGCTTCTTTAGTTCATTAATCTCTGACATACTCTTTGCAGCAATGAGCATATCATCAACATAAAGGAGCAAATAAATAGCTAAACCATTGACAGTTTTCAAATAAACACAACTATCATAATTAGACCTTTTGAAACCTTGAGAGAGCATAAAGGTGTCAAATCTCTTGTACCATTGTCTAGGGGATTGCTTCAATCCATAAAGAGATTTCTTTAACCTACAGACAAGCTTTTCTTTTCCAGGAATAACAAAACCTTCAGGTTGTTCGATATAAATATCATCTTCTAATTCTCCATATAAGAATGCAGTTTTAACATCCAATTGTTCAAGCTCAAGATCATGCATGGCAACAATACTGAGTAAAGTGCGAATAGAGTTATGCTTCACAATAGGAGAAAAGACTTGGTTATAGTCAATACCTGGAATCTGAATGTAACCTTTAGCAACTAACCTTGCCTTATATCTTGTCTCATCATTAGGAGAAACACCTTCTTTCCTCTTGAAAACCCACTTGCAACGAATAGGCTTCTTCTCTCTAGGTAATCTTACTAAATCCCAAGTGCCATTCTTTTCAAGTGATTCCATCTTATTATGCATAGCAGTCATCCACGTATTACTATCACCAGAAATAATAGCCTCAGAATATGAAGAAGGCTCAGCATTACCTTCAATTTCTTCTGCAACAGATAAAGCAAAAGAAACAATATTGCACTTTTCAATTAACCTGTCCGGTTTATTAATACCCCGTCTAACTCTGTCACGTGTGAGATTCCAACTAGGCGGAACAATAGGCTGATTTGGAGTGGGAGTGACATGATCATCATTAACGACGGGTTCATCATGTGCATCAACAATTTCATTACCAAAATTATCACCTCAATCAATAACATGCTCCACTTAAACAATAGGCTCCTGAACAATAGGCTATTGTTCACTCTCAACGAGAACATTAGTAGATGAAACATCATGTAACATAGCAGATTCATTAAAGATAACATTTCTGCTAATAACCACCTTCTAGGTTTCAGGATTCCACAATTTAAAACCTTTAACACCAGACTTATAACCAAGAAAGATGCACTTAACAGCCCTAGGCTTCAATTTTCCATTATCAACATGAGCACAAGCAGTGCAACCAAAAACTCTCAACTGTGAATAATTAGCAGGTGAACTAGAGCATACCTCAATTGGAGTTTTCTTATTAAGAGCAATAGATGGTGACCGATTAATGAGATAGCAAGCAGTGGAAGCGGCCTCAGCCCAAAAATGCCTATGGAAACCTACATTGGACAACATGCAATGGGCTCTGGAAATAATGGTCATGTTCATACGCTCAGCAACACCATTTTGTTGAGGAGTATAAGGAACGGTGTAGTGTCTGACAATGCCTTCAGACTTGCAATAATTCTTAAATTGCTTAGAACAGAATTCCATGCCATTATCAGTACGAAGTATCTTTACCTTCTTTTCAGTTTGTTTTTCAATCATAATCTTCCACTCCTTAAAAGCTGAGAATGATTCATATTTATGCTTCAAGAAATAAGGCCAAACTTTTCTCGAATAATCATCAATAATAGTCAGCATGTAACTAGCACCACCTAGTGACTTTCTGCGAGATGGTCCCCATAAATCAAAATGCACATAATCAAGAATACCTTTAGTTGTATGAGTCGAAGTGTTGAACTTCACCCTCTTGTGCTTGCCGAAGATACAATGCTCACAAAATTTCAATTTACCAGGTTCATATCCATCAAGGAGACCTCTCTTATTTAACTCTGCCAAACCAAGTTCACTCATATGTCCAAGACGCATATGCCAAAGGTTAGCAGCATCACAATCAGAATTCTTTGAAATAACTGGAGTAGCGTTGCCTGAAACAGTAGAATCTCGAAGGTAATAAAGACCATTGGTAGAACTCGAATCACCTTTCATCACAATAAGGGAACCTTTGGTGACTTTCAAAACACTATCTCCACCTGAATACTTGTACCCCTTTGCATCAAGGGCACTCATAGAAATAAGATTTATCTTCATCTTCGAAATATACCGAACATTTGTCAAAGTTCTGATTATACCATCAAACATCTTGATTCGAATAGAACCTATGCCTTCAATCTTGCATGGTGAATTATCAAAACCCACAACGGAACCAGCAGCAGTAGGGGAATCAAAAGTATTAAACCAATCTCTATGTGGACACATATGAAAAGTGCATGCGGTGTCAAGTACCCACTCATCATTGGTCTTAGCACATCCAGCAATAACGACAAGAGCATCATCGGAACTATCATCACGAGCAACGTTAGTAGAATTTTCACCTTGTTTGTTACCTTTCCTCTTTTCTTTATTCTGCAACTTGAAACACTCTGAGATGTCATGCCCGTCTCTCTTGCAATACCTACAATATTTCTTGTCTCTAGATTGCGACCGGCCCCTGTGGACATTCTTAATTTTGCCTTTGTTTCCATTATTGGAGTTCTTCTCCTTTGTCATGCCACGAACAGATAATCCCTCGGCTTGGGATGAACTCGAACCATCATGAGGCACCATTAATTTCATCTTCTCCTTAGAGTTCAAAGCTTCATAAACTTCATTAAGTGTGAGCGTATCACGACTGTATAATATGGTGTCTCTAAAATTTGTATAAGAACTTGGCAGTGAACGAAGTAACATATAACGAGAAATAAACGAGACACGAGAGACACAGATTTTTACGTGAAAACCCTTGCAGGAGAAAACCAGTGACGCACTAAGGCATAATCACTATGAGGAGGAGTATTACAAGCACGAGACGACAGACCGTCTGAGATGCGACTACATGGGGTATATATGAGGGCAATACATAAGAGTCCTTGTAGGACAAGTAAACGAGTTGTACTCGTACGCGTCGACGTGAACGCAAAGGCCCACACCAGTTGTACTATGTCTAGTCCAACACGGTATAATTGGGATCACAATTTAACAAAGATGGATCACCAGAGTGCACAATAATACAGATAGAATTGTTTAGTTGATGCAACTTTGAAGTTATGATGCCTGCTATCATGCTAGTTTCCAGAAACTGTTTCTGTCCATAAGAGCATCTAAAGCCTGACTGGCAAATCCGGCCACCGCAGGCACTGGTCGGGCACTTCTTATATTTCCTTCTTCACATACAACTCTCGCATATTCATCCCCTAAATCAATAAAAAGCATGCAGAATATATAGCTACGTACTACGTTCTATACTACTCAAATTTCGTCGTTGTCGGTGATGGCTGGAGCCTGTGCCGCCTCCATTTGTTGCCGACAGCGACGCCTGGCCTCCGCAGCCGACTCCAAGCGGATGGACTTCAGGATGGCATGCTGCTCCGGCCACACGCCCACGTCCTCCTCCATCATCGGCGCCTCCTCCTCCCCCACATTCAGCGGCGGTGCCTCCTCCTCTTCCTTCGCCGGCTCCTGCTTGTCCTTCGCACGGCTCCTGCTCCTGCTCCTCTTCCTCCTCCACCGGCACCTCCTCCTCAACCTCCTTGAAATCCTCCTCCAGTTCCAGAGGTACCCTCGCTTCCCTACAGATCCGGGCCTGCTCAAGGAGGAAGAGACGGTGCTGGATCGTGTAGTAGCGGCGGCGTGGGGGCATGGCTAAGGCTCGAGTGGTGGTAGAGGGAGGGAAGAGGCAAATGTGCTAGGGCTGGGGGCGTCGGCCGACTTAAATAGCCAGCTACGGCCTCGGGCGACGAGCCAAAGCGGCGCCAAGCGGCGACGATCGAGGCGCCCGTCGGACCGTCAGGTTTCCCGGCGAGTCCGTGTGAGGCCACGCCGTCAGGCCGATGTGGCAGGCATGCTTGGGTGCCCCCATATCCGCCACATATTTGGGCTGGATATGAGGGGTGCTGGTCAGCCCGAGCGTTTGAAAGTGCCATCTGGGTCAAAAAATCATAACCAGACAGTGACCGGACGGCCGCCCGGATGTATGACGCGGGTTTGAAAGGTCCGGTTGTAGATGCTCTAACTCCACCCTGTAGGTTCCCCAGGCGTTCTTATTCAATATTTGAGTAACTCTATACACACATTTTTATACGACAATAATAGTTCGAATGGGAACAATGGTGGTGAAAACGACCATGAGAATGTGAATTCTGAGTGCCATCTCATGTCTTCGGATCTGTGACTGGGAGAAAATGGTACGTAGATCTTTGTGTCGAATATTTCCTACCATCTCATGTCGAAAAAATGGAAAAGAACTGTTCATTCTACACGGCATAATCAAAGGAATACACGTGTTGATCTCACTGCTACACTCGAGAGAAACTCACAAGAAGTTGAAATAAACACACGCTGATCTCCTGAGTTGCAGTGCATCAGCCCATCTCATCTCACTCACCATTTCACACCTCTGAGTCTGAGCCCTTGCCCTTAGAAGAGGTTGCCTTCTTCTCTTGGTCTTGGGAGCTTTTGTCGCTGTCGGCGGTCCAGTAGGGCTTGATAGCGTAGAGCACCTTCTCTCGGATGTGCGGGCTGTCCTCGTGGTTTGCCATCATCGTCTTCCACCGCATCCCCGTCGCCACCTTGTCCACCCGCAGCAGGACGTTGATGTCATCCCGGAGGATCACCGTGCCCTCAGGGCGCAAAATCCGGTCCATCTCCAGCATGATGTCCTCCATCTTGCACCTGATCCACCCAGCCAGACATCAGCTTGTCAGGGATGTAGAATACAATTGCCAGCAGCTAAGATTTTTTTGAGTGGCTCACTCACTTGTCCCTATAGATGTTGAATACTCCGTTGGCATGGATGAGGTCATAGGTTCTTGGGTAGGTAGAGAATGCTTCACACCTGAAGAAGAACACAAATCAACAACCTCTTCGCATCATCTTGTAGACCAAAGGTAGGCAAAACTAACTTACCAGTCATGATAGATGCCAATGAGACCCCTCTCATAGATGACGCCGAGGGTGGAGAGCTCGGCGGCGGTGGGCACCACGTTCATCACCCAGGACATGGGGGAGAAGATCGCCGCCGCGAAGCCGCCCACGCCGGCGTTCATGTCCATGATGTTCCGGTACCGCTTGGTGTCGAGCTTGTAGTTAACCTTCCTGTATGCCTTCACATGCCTCTCCCACCGTCGGTTCTCCTCCTCGTACGACTCCACGATGAAGCCCTGGACGGCGCCAGAACTTATGCGTGGCGGGATGGCCTTCAGCCGTTCCGGGAACGACTGCAGTTCTCCTCCGGCGGCAGTGGTGGACGGCGTGATGCACGTCTCCATGTTCTTGTACCTGTTGTACAGGCCCAACTCAACATCTTTCAGTTCCGTGTCCCGCGGGAAACGATGTGACGTTCTGAAGCCGTTTGACTCAAAGTCGACTGTCAATCTAGATATTGATCTCACCAGACGTCGTCGGGATTTGCCGGGTCGCAGGCCTGGACCGCCGGCGGCATGGCCGGGCACGCTGCCGTGTCCGTCCGCTTGCGCCACACGCCAATCTCGGCCATCTCGGTGACCTTCTCCCAGCAGAGCATCTGCGCGTACTCCTCAATCCTCTTCTGCTCGCCTCCCAGGTCCTCCTCCGTGCGCTGCCACTTCCTGTGATTCGCCTTCCAGTTGATCGGCGGGCCGGAGAGGACCCAATACCCGCCCGGCCCGAGCACCCGGTCCACCTCCATCATGTACATCCCGCCTGCATCAAAACTTCCTTTTATATACCAAATCATGACAATGGCAATGACATGCGTGTCGTCGTGTCGATCGCGTCGAGTGCTAGCTCACCGTTGCCGGACCACTGGATGAGGCACCGGGAGCAGTGCGCCATGTCAAAGGATCTTGGAGGGAATGGGAGCTTGACGGAGCCAAGGACGCCGATGAAGGCCGGCACACCGCGCTCCAGCGCGAATTGCACCTGCGCCTCGTGCGAGTCGCGCGGTGCGAACGACATGGCCATCACGCCACGGGAGTCTAGGTATGCGCCGAGACTCGCCACCTGCACCAACATGGACGTAAACAAGATCGATGAATGACAGCGCGCGAATGCATTGCATGGACCATGTATCAGAAAACGTGATTAATGGCTTACGCCGCAGCCGGTGTCGAGGACGGAGCGGACGGAGCCGTCGGCGAAGGGGACGACGGAGGCGAGCTGGTCGATGTACTTGTCGGCGCCGTGGGGGAACTGGGTGCCGCCGCCGGGAAAACGGAATACGGCGCCCTCGTACTGGACCCAGTTCTGGACGGCCTTCTCAACGGTGAGGCTTTTTTTTTTTGAATGTCTCAACGGTGAGGCTTTTGTACGGCGCGTTGGCGTAAGGGACGTAGTCGCGGCTCTTGGGCCACGGGAACGGCGTCACGTACCCAGGCGGCGCCGGCACGAGGCACCGCAGCCGGTCGCCGTCCGACGGGCAGTGCCGCTCCCGGTACACCATGTTCTTGCGTGGGAATTTCATGGCGCGGTCCTGGGAATGCAGATTATGTGAGCTTATGCACCCGGGCCTCACTATCCTAACACTCCAATGTTGCTTTGAGATCTGTGCTACACAACTATCTTATTACATGGAATTTTCTTTTTTTTGTTCCTCTCATATAAAACATGTCTTGAACTTCAAACTTTGCAGTACAACATAACTTTGTAACTAGAATGTGAGATAAAACTTTCAGATTTTTTTGTCCGACATAAATATGAAAAATAAGATTTTTTAATCAAAAAAATCTCATTTTGTATATTTATGTTAGACCAAAAAATCTGTAAGTTTTATCCCACATTCTACATAGAAAGCTTTGTTGTGCTGCAAAGTTGAAAGTACAAATACATGTTCTATATGAGAGAAACAAAAAAGAGAAAATTATTTGCACGAATCTTGATGCAGAAATGAGTGGTTGGATAAGAAGTACCCGGGTGCATAGGCTCTAAAACATGTTTTCGGCGGTCCTGATCGTGGCACGGAGTGTGGTCCGTGAGCGCTGCCGCGCACGGCGCGAACGACGGCGGCGGCTTGCCGCCAAGGCCGGACGTCGTCGCGTTGGCCAGGCCGCCGGTGTGGTGCGTCTCGAAGCTGAGCCCCACGGCAGAGGCGCTGGCGCAGGCCGTCTGCCGGGTCACCGCCACCACGATGCTGTCACCCTTGCCGTAGCCGCTGCGCTGCCACGCGCCGAGCACGTAGAAGAAGCAGCACAGCAGGACGGCGATCACCATGCCCAGCGGGCTCCGCGCCTTGTACTCGCCAGAGTTGCCCTTGATGGCCATGGACGGATCGCCTCTGCCGTGGATCGATCGATCAAGGCCTACTACACAACAACAAATGCATCAACGAAAGAAACAAGAATTGAACACACAAGAATAATTAATGATTAATTTGTTAATGCCATGCATGGACCTTGATCACGGTATGATCAGACCGAAGTGAATTGATCAATACGGCTTGATGAATTAGGACACCGCTGTTGCATCTGATCGATCTCTGTTGAGGAAAACGCGCGCGGGAGAATCGGTACGTACGTGTGTTTGTTGAGAATGCTCAACAACAAGGGAGGAAGAAGCGGATCTTGGAATCTGGGTATGGAGTATGGAGATACGAGATGACAACACGTTTTTTTTAACAGACGCAAGCGCTCATATATACACACATATACTCACCTCTATAAACGCACACCCGCACATTCTATCCCTATGAGCACCTTCAAGAGACTCAGCCGACATATCATTTTAAGATTTACAAAGTCACTGTAGACGCCTCGTCGTAGACAGGAACGTCTCCTTCCAATAAAAGCGACACGTTATTTCTGCCGTAGCAGATCAGGTGAAAGTGGTGCCCTAAAATACATTACGACTGCACTTTTGCATTATTTGTTCGAGCTGCGTTTTTGACACAAAGTGATGTGTCTTGTTGTCCTGTGTGGTTCCAGATGCCAAAAAAACTGTGGCCGTTGCGCGGCATTTGTCGTATATTTGCAGCACTTGGGGCGAAAAAATTGGCCCGCCTTTTTTTGCAGCACTACATGCAGATACATCAACTGCTTGAGCACATTTTGGTCAATGCCCTAAAAAAACAGTTTTGGGGAGCATCTGTCCTATTATACATTACATTATGGATTGGAGATAGAGAAATCTAGGAGCATGCAGCTTAAGGCAAAGTTCCCCGCAAAAAAAAAACTTAAGGCAAAGTTCCCCGCAAAAAAAAACTTAAGGCAAAGTTAAATAAATATTGGGCTCAACTATATACTAGCGCCACATATCTATGGGGGCTCAATTCTCTTCTATCCACCATGTATCCATGAGATGGCATAAGTAAGATTCCTTTAAATGCTTAAAAATTATAAATAAAACAACCACTCAAATCAGATCGATGATCCGCTTTCACAGTTCGGTTTGTTGTGGTGGGATCTTCAAAACTAAATCACATGTTAACATGTTTTGACAACTTTTTATTTCATTTGTACTTGACAGATTGTGTGCACTTACTTGCCAGGTAAACAACTACTTGATTGCTAGTAAAATTAACTTACTTGTCAGATTACCGAACATCAATCTATTTAGGATAGTAAAACTGAGCCTAACCCCAGCCTCCTGAGGACCTCTACATTTTTGGCCATCCATTTTTTGTGACTGAGACATTTTAGGTCGTCATATTTGTTGTTCTAAAGGGATGCTACTCTAGAGGAAAAATCCGAGGTCTTTTGTTAACTTGCCTTTTCTTCTAGCCCAATTGGCTAGAAAGGCCAGGCTCCGTTGGTTGCTGCGAGAGAGATGGGGTCCTTTGGCCACTGCGAGACCAATCAACATGAGGGGGGAGGGGATTTGTCTGCTGGTGTGAGAGAGATGGTATCTAGGAAGGACTGTCGTTGAGATAGAAGATGTGAGGGGTCCATATGTGTGTGAGGGGCAGAGGAGATGACCAAGCCGCCGCAGACCAACGTCATGGCTGCTCGTTCCAGGGAAACTGCTCCAGCGAAGCTATGCTGCACCGACACCGCCATTACCGCTCGAGGTTAACCCCTCCCTACATACCCCCTCCTGATCTCTGAATAAAATGTGAACCACCAACAGTCATTAAATATCTAGGCACTCCGAACCTAAGGAAAATAACTTCTTTAAGCATTTTAATAGAAGTGTTATGATCAGAACTATTAGTTGGAATAGCTTCTACCCACTTAGTAACGTAATCAACAACAACGAAAATATGTGTATACCCATTATAGGAAGGAAAATGTCTCATATAATCAAATCCCCAAACATCAAATGGTTCATAACAAGTGAATAATTACTTTAGAATCAACTTTGCAAGATTTGAATTTATCACATGCAAGCACAACTACTAAAAATTATTTCTCGGTAGTAGCATAATTTATTTGAGCACTGTCTAGAGTTCTACTACCATAATGGATAACATATAATTTCTTATCAACTCTTTGCCCTAGGACAACATCAACATCATAATCACTAGCATCACACATAATTTCAAAAGACAAGTTCCAATCAGGTGGTTGAACAATAGGTGCAGAAATTAAGGCTTTCTTAAGTGTTTCAAATGCTTCTACACAATCATCATAAAAAACAAATGGAACATGTTTTGCAAGAGATTAGTAAGAGGCCTAGAAATTTTAGAGAAGTCTTTAATAAACCTTCTATAGAAACCAACATGACCAAGGAAACTTCTTATACCTTTAATATCTATAGGACATGACATTTTCTAAATTACATCAACTTTAGCTTTGTCTACCTCAGTACCTCTTCCGGAGATTTTATGACCTAAGAAAATACCTGCATTTACCATAAAGTGGCACTTCTACCAATTCAAAACACGATTAGTTTCTTTACATCTCTGCAAAACTCGATCAATGTTGCTTAAGCAATCATCAAAAGAAGTCCCATAAGCGGAGAAATCATCCATGAAAACCTCAACAATCTTTTCACAAAAATTAGAGAATATAGTAGTCATACATCTTTGAAAGGTAACAGGTGCATTACATAAACCAAAAGGCATACGTCTATATGCATAAGTTCCAAAAGGGCAAATAAAAGTAGTTTTCACTTGATCTTTTGGTGATATAGGTATTTGAGAGAAACCAAAATATCTATCAAGAAAAAGTGTGTTTGAGCTTAGATAGTCTTTCTAACATTTCATCTATAAAAGTCAAGGGGTAATGATCTTTTCTAGTAGCTTTGTTTAATTTTCTAAAATCAATTACCATCCTGTAACCAGTTACAATTGTTTGTGGAATGAGTTCATTCTTATCATCAGGAACAATGGTAATGCCTCCATTCTTAGGAACACAATGAATGGGGCTGGCCCATCCACTGTCAGTTATGGGATAAATTATACCTGCTTTCAGAAGCTTTAATATTTCAGTTCTTACCACATCATTCATTTTAGGATTTAATCGTCGTTGGTGATCAACAACTTGTTTAGCATCAGGTTTCATATTAATCTTGTACTGACATAGAGTGGGACTAATGCCCTTAAGATCATCAAGAGTATATCCAATAGCGACACAATGCTTCCTTAGAGTTTTTAGTAATCTCTTTTCTTCATGCTCTTAAAGTTCATCACTAATAATAACATGATATGTCTTCTTTTCATCAAGATAAGCATATTTCAATGTATCAAGTAATTGTTTTAATTCAAACACAGGATCACCTATTTGTGGAGGAGGACCTCCAACAGTTTCAACATGAAAATTGTGTTTAAGGATAGGTGGTTGATCAAAGAACATCTTATATATTCTGTTTATTTCATTCATGTGCATATCATTTTCATGGTCTAGAAGATGTTGTTTTAACAGATCAGTAGGAGGCCCGGCAATAGAAGCAAGACCAACAATTTAATCCTTACTAGGCAATACTTTATCATGAGGTTGTCTATGGAATTTAGAGAAATTAAACTCATGAAATACATCGGCAAAGTTAACATTGATAGTTTCTTTAGTGTAATCAATCTTAATTAGCATTAACGGTCTTCAAGAAAGGTCTACCAAATATAATGGAACAAAAATCATCTCGTGGAGAACCAAGGACTAGAAAATCAGTAGCGTATTTCATTTTTCCACACAAGATTTCGACATCTCTAACAATCCCAAGCGATGAAATAGTATCTCTATTCGCAGGCTTAATAGTAACATCGATGTCTTCTATCTCAATAGGTGCAATATCATTCATAATTTCTTGATCTAAGGTAAATGGGATATCACTCACACTAGCACCCAAATCACATAAGCCATGGTAACAATGATATCCTATTTTCACTGAGACAATAGGCATACCACTGTTCAAGATATCTTCTGATATTCAGATAAATCGGTCGATTTATCGCTTACTAGTGTCTGACGTTTACCAGTGGCATACCAACAATAGGTTTATTCTTATCTTTAGTATCAGGCTTATCAATTCTAGCGGCTTCGTCACACAAGTAAATAACATGCCCATCTATATTACTGACAAAGACATCTTTAACCATAGCAAAATTAGGTTCAACATTAATTTGTTCAAAGGGTCTAGGTGCTCTAATATTACTTTTGTTAGCCACAGTTGAAACTCCTTTATCCAAACAGGAAAAGGTGGTTCTTAATATAAGCATTAGGCACAACTGGATCAACATTGTGAATGATAGTTTCATCTTTAACTATAACGGGTTTGTTGGTGCAATGATTGGCCCCTTATGTTTTTGGAGTTTGTTGACATAAACGGTATGGGACTTATGTGTTTGCTAGTGCACAGAGAGTAACAGGTCTGTGTGAACATGAGGAGTTTAATTCAAACGCCGAAGATAATCCCTGACGTAGCAGTGAAGGTTATCACCGACGATTATGATAACAAGAGTGACCCCTCAAAAATTGCTGACAGGAAGCAACTGGTTAAGTGCTCGTCCGAAGGAAGTAACTGCGACCGAGGAGATTGAAGACGAAGTGAAGGCTTAGCATTTATTTCGTTGGTTCTCTTCTCTTTATTGAGTCAAAGGACCACCGTACTATTAAGAGGGGTGTAGCCTTTGAAGCTTTCATTCTCTAATGCTAAACCCAAATCTTATGAAAGTTGCGAGAGAAATCTCTTTGTGCTCCGAGAAAATACTTTCCAGCAAGAGACTGCGATCTTCTTCACTGTGAGAGATTTGTCTCAGACCAAGGAGTTAGCATTACTTGTTCCACCAGTAATGTTACTGTTGATCTTTGAAATCTGACCGTTGAGAACGTATTGGTTGGCCATTGGCTGGACCACGTGTCCAAAATGGTCATTTCCCACCAGGGAAGGAT